GCAGAGCAGAAGCTGTTGAGAGAATTATGAAGCCATTTTTAGTCTCTTTTCTGAATCTAACCACAACTGGAAGTTTCTAGTTTCTCCATATTTTTTAGTTGAGCAAGTGAAAAAATGATTAGAAACATGGGGAGTGTGTGCATGGGGATGGGTATATGGAGGTTGTCATGCTTATATAACACAAGACCAGCTAAACTGCTTTTGCTCAAACTTAAAAACCTAATTAGTAGGCTAAAACCAAACAGCATTCTTTCTGGGATTAAACTTTCCATATGCATCTGAAAGGGGAGTTAGAAGTGAAACTGCATTTCTGAACAAGGTATCAATTGCACTAGCAAATGCTACAATGTATTTTGATTGCCAAACAATGACTTTCTGATCAGAGAAAAACCAATCTTCTTTTTTCTTGTCACTTTGAACTTCCAAACAGAAAAGAAACACAACAAATCTCCCAGCACAGGGAACAGATTTGTTAAGAAGGTGCAATTGTTACTTTTCTGACCATAACTACCTTTAAAAAACAAGTTAAGTTTGAAGAAAATATTTTTTTAAAGTCATGAATGTTGAAGTCAACAATTTTACACATGCACTTTTTTTAAAAAAAGAACATGTTTTCTATTGCTTTGTTGGGTTGCAAAACACTAGAACTAGTTACTACTAAACTTCTTATTATGTAACCCAATATCAGCAATTTTTCTGTTTAGGGGCCTTCAAAGGCAGGTTCTACCTCTCCCTTCCCCCCACCCCTGTTTCTGTATAGAAAACTGGCCAACTGACATTCCCAACTGCCAAGAACCTTTTGACTTCAACATTCCATCCTCTCCACCTGTTAGAGGTCTCGCCTGTAATGGAATGCTAAACTGTATGATACTGTTCAGCCACTAGGTGGTGCTGTGTGAGACAAACCTTAATTAAGCTAACCTCAGCCACACCTGACAGAGCATTAAAGTATCTTGTTATAGGAAACACATCTGGTGTGTATCTTTATGAGAAGTCTGTAGTTAGTCCCTATCTGCTACAGAAACTTGACTGCTAGTAGCAGCCCTGCAACCTATTGTGTACAAGAAGTACATGACATCACTGAAACCCATTCTACTTGCTGTTTGAATAGTGGTAGAGCTGAAGAGTCTACCATTCAATGTGCTCCTTATTTCACATGAACCTAATACAGCTGCAGATGTTTCACCATAGCACAACCTTCCTCTAACTGCAATTGATCTAAAAATATCAATGGCCTTAGGACTATCTGACCTTTACAAGGTGCTGCACTCTTACTCTAGGTGATTGCACAGACTTGCCCAATCTTTGTTTTTTTCACTAAAGACTCTTGTTTTATAGCCCACAATCTGGCTTTGCATCTTTTTCTTTCTGGATAACTGCCAGAAATTTCCCCCTTCTCCCAGTTGCTCAGGACTATATTCTTCTTATTTTTAGGAAAAGCAGGGCTTGTTTTTAATAACAACATTATTTTTATTTAAACATTATATAACTCTAACACAAGAACAGCCAGAGCCTGGTGTTGACTGCAACCTGCAGCTCTCTGCAGTTCAGAACCCCACCTTCCAAAATAGAAAATCACTTTTGATCTCTGCAGCCACACTTGAATCCTGAGGTAATAATCAGCTGCTCCACCCTGAGGATGCTTTATCAGTTGCTTTGGGTAAGGTAAAAGGGGCTCATTGTCACCCACATGATTTGCATCTGGGAGTAAGAGTACAAAGGAACAGTCCCCCTTGTATGACCTAAACTCTCTTGCCCTTGTGATGGGTTTTGTTCTCCTCCCCATGCTAAGCAGTGACCGCAGAAGTCATCTTGCTCACTGAGTAACAGTGTTCTGGGGAGAGATGCAAATGGCCAGGCCCCTGTCAAGAGAAAACTGGCCTAGCCTGGTGGAAGAATGAGAGATGAGCACAGTCTAGGAAGGAGATGCCTGAGCCCTACTTAGATTAGGAAGGAATTGATAGACTGTGAAGGTAAAAGCTTGATGGGTTGTTTGTTTGGGTGGGAGGCTTGGAGAAAAGTAGAGAGTACTGTAGTGGGGTGTCTTGTTTCAGAGAGTCCATTCATAAATGGCTACATCCTTGAAGCGAGGAGCTGGTTTACAGGTGTGATTCAGCATGATGAGAGATGAGCAGAGGAGAAGTTTAAGAGGTAAGGGACAGATGGGGGAGTCAACTGTGAATATATACAACCTATAAAAATGTTAGTTTTACATAAGTTAGTTTACACCTTTTTGAGGGGCCAATGTAGGTAGGTCTGTGGTGGAACTTAGCAATACTGCCCAACTTAGACAAACTGCAAAAGGGATCATTAAGCAAAACAGCAGCCTGCTAAGTTATGTCTTGGCTAAGAAAATGTTCACTCTTCCCAGTGACTGGCAATTGCTGATTCCCACAGCATAACCTCAATGAAAGCTGAAGAGGCAGCTATGCAGAATACCATGAGGAAGTTCTTGGGGGTGGGAGGTACATAATGGGTCAGACCCAAGGTCCATCAAGCCCAGTATCCTGTCTTTCAACAGTGGCCAATGCCAGGTGCCCCAGAGGGAATGAACAGAACAGGTAAGCATCAAGTTATCCTTCCCTGTTGCTCATTCCCAGCTTCTTTGGCAAAGAGAGGCTAGGGACACCATACCTGCCCATTCTGGCTAATAGCTATTGATGGACCTATCCTCCATGAACTTATCTAGTTCTTTTTTGAACCCTGTTATAGTCTTAGCATTCCACAACATCCTCTGGCAAGGAATTCCACAGGTTGACTGTGTTGTGTGAAAAAATACCTTGTTTGTTTTAAACCTGCTGCCTATTAATTTAATTTGGTGACCCCCGAGTTCTTGAGTTATGAGAAGGAGTAAATAACACTTCCTTATTTACTTTCTCCACACCAGTCATGATTTTATAGACCTCTATCATATCCCCCCTTAGTTGTCTTTTTTCCAAGCTGAAAAGTCCCAGTCTTATTAATTGCTCCTCATATAGAAGCTTTTCCATACCCCTAATCATTTTTGTTGCCCTTTTCTGAACCTTTTCCAATTCCAATATATTTTTTTTTAGATGGGGCGACCACATCTGCATGCAGTATTCAAAATGTGGGCATACCATGGATTTATATAGAGGCAATATATTTTCTGTCTTATTATCTATCCCTTTTTTAATTATTCCCAACATTTTGTTTGCTTTTTTGACTGCACATTTAATGTATGTTTTCAGAGAACTATCCACAATAACTCCAAGATCTCTTTCTTGAGCGATAACAGCTAATTTAGACCCTGTCATTTTATATGTATAGTTGGGATTATGTTTTCCAATGTGCATTACTCTGCATTTATCAACATTGAATTTCATCTGCCATTGTATTGCCCAGTCACCCAGTTCTGTGAGATCCTTTTGTAGCTCTTTGCAGTATGCCTGGGACTTAACAATTTTGAGTAATTTTGTATCATCTGCAAATTTTGCCACCTCACTGTTTACCCCCTTTTCCAGATCATTTATGAATATGTTGAATGGGACTGGTCCCAGTACAGACCCTTTGGGGACACCACTATTTACTTCTCTCCATTCTGAAAACTGACCATTTATTCCTACCCTTTGTTTCCTATATTTTAATCAGTTACCAATCCATGAAGACCTTCCCTCTTATCCCATGACAGATAGGAGCATATCAAACTGTGAGAATCTCTCAGGTAGTGGGATATTTGTCATAAATTATGTGGAGAAGTGAGTGAGAGCTCTAATCACACGTGGACTGCCTTCACTAGGGGAAAAAGTGTTCTTAACTTGTGTGTAAACTACAAACTGGCTTGTCTTCATTAGAGCTCATCTTGCATGAGTTAAATCGATTGAGAACACCACCTTTGTTCTCACAGTGGGGCGAGGAAGGTCATGGGGGAGTTGATAGTGGAGACAGCATGGGAGTTAGCTGTGAATGTGTGTTTAGAGATGTAGGGATTTCATTATAAATGCCTGTGACTAGCCTTCAAGTGTATGTCTTGTATTATAGGCGTCTTCTTTATTTACAATACTTATTTTCAGTCTAGTCTGAATACAATAGTAAATAACAAGAAAATGCATAGCTGGCTTTTTGGAAGGGGGAGGGAGGTAGGAGGGCTGCATGCCCCGCCTCCCACTTCTCCTCGCAAGAGGCACTCCCTCGCCTCCTAGGGAATTGGACTCTATTAGAGTATAGGATGAGACCTTCCTGGGCGGACAGATTATCCCACACCTCCCTGCTGGAGGGTTTCTTGTACTGTATCTATCCCTGTATTTTTAATTCTATGGAAGGTTGGAGGCATGCGGGGTGGGGGTTGTGTGTGGTGCAGTTGTATGGGAGGACGCAGCATTGGTGTGTGTGCAGGATGTGAGGCAAGTGCATAGGAAGGCAAAGTGGGTGCAGTAGCCGTGGTGGAGTGGCAGAGCCGGGACTGTGATGCTGGAGACCGGTTCGACGGAATCCCATGTGCGGAACTTCAGTTGCCCCTTCGAGACTCCATTTCAAGCTGTGAATGCAGTGCACCACGGAGACTGATTTATTGCGATGTGCAGAAGACCAGGAGGCGGGAGCATGCGCAGAAAAGAGCATATTGAAGCTGGTGAGTAACGCATGCGCATTGTAGAGAAAGAAAATAAATCCGAACGAGCAGCGTGAAGCATGCGCATGCGGGCCCCGCCTGGTCCTGCGCTAAGGGGAATTCAATTAGTTATTTACGGTAACAGAAGTCGAATGAATTTAGAGCCTCTGCGCTTCCCGTAGTGCGGACTGTACCAAGCCGGCCGGGGGAGAGGTGCATCGCGGCCAGGCCCGGCCGTTCGCCCAGCGCCTTTGGGCAGACGCACGCAGTGGCCGGCTGTGTGACTTGAGGCGCACGTAGGGAGGCGGGTGAGTATCAGGCAGGCCCGGAGTGCGATGAGGTCGGAGTGTACGGAGGCTTCCCCTCCCACCCCGCGGTCTGCAGTGCAGTGGCGGCGCCGGCGGAGAGACGGGGCTGGGGGCCGCGGCTGGGTAATGGCAGCGCTGTGAGGAGGGGGAGCGGGGCAGGGACTGCAGCCTCAGGACACGGAGGAAGGAGGGAGGCCGGCCGGCCGGCTCAGCTGACTCAGGCCTCTGCTGCCAGGTAACCCCGCGCTGGAGGCGCCTCTGGCTTCCCAGCGAACGCCGGGGGGAAGCGGAGCAAGGGCTTCCCGGCTCCGAGGGGGTATGACCTCCTCGCGCACGGCCTGGATCCGCTGGGCCCGTCTCGGGGGGGTATGTTACCGCCGAGCGCATTTGCTGGCCCTGCGCCTCCCGAGAGGGCTGACTCCTCCCCCCCCCCGGATCTGTTGGCTGCTCCCCAAAACCTCTCGCCCTCGTGACGGGTTTTGTTCTCCTCCCCACGCTAAGCCCCGCCGGGTTGAGGTCCCGGCCATGTTTGGCTCTTTGCACCCGTTCTGAGTTGTTCCTCGCAGGCCCCGGAATCCGCCCCCCAGGGGAATGTTACACCCCCGTCCCCGCCAGTTTCACTTTTGGTTTGGGAGTGAATAATGTGGGTGTGGAGGGGCCCACCGCCCGCTCACTGATTCTGCTCCTGGGCGATTTCTAGGACCCTGGTTGCTGGACTTGGCCAAGTTAGATCTTTTCCATGTTCCAACTTAAGTAGCCAATATCTCTTCCCCTGGCTGGCTCCCCACACTCCACCTTTGTGTGTCTTTTGCTTTCACAACATATTTATATAGCTGAGAACTATTGGGACCTGCATGTGGTCACACAACCTGCATTTATCACATTTAATAGTCCCCCACTCATAAATAGAACATATAACGATGGGAACCAAAGGCTGTCTGCTTCTAATGTATGATGGGGTTAAAGTGTATCTACCTGGTTTTTCACTAGTGCAAACCCTTGGTGTAGAGAAGACCTGCAGTCATGCATCTTGCTCTGCACTATTTGTTACTTTTTATATTAGTGCAGTGTGTCCATGTTGTAGCTACACTTAAACGCAGGAGTGTTTGTGTAACACCCCCTTATAGACAAGCCATACTGAATTTTCTGAGGATTAATTAGTTCATCTAAAATGTTTTGAAATTATAAAAAGAAATTATGTAAATACTTTATTGTAGTTTTAACTCCAGCAATGTATCCATCTCCAATAAGCACTCTATCTCAACCAGTTAATATTTGACATTTGTGGGTGTGTTTCTTTCTCTCTTTTTTTGGGTCACAAAGGATCTGAAATTGATATACAGATTTCATATATTCAGCACCACTGAAATACAGCTTCACTGGTCCTGCATACCTCATGCGGGAGATACTTTTTTCAATCAAGTTAGTTTCTCATGACAGGAAGAAAACTCTTCCTTGTGTAGAGATATTTAGAGAGAATTGGGGCAGCAACAAACTGGTGCACAGCATGCTACACAATCCTTTTGAGGGGATGTTGCTGACATGTGGGGACATGGCTATTAAACCCTGCTCATACAAAAAGTGCCATGGGAGCCTTCAAACTCTTAAAGAGCAGAGAACTTCTGCTTAGGTCTCATCAAAAGTGTTCCCACATATTTTAATATAATTGTGTGATTAATCCTTTTAGATAAAGGCAAGTTACTAATTTTTGTTGGTTGCCAAAGACACGCTTTATTGTGGTTTCTGTTTCTTGGTTTCTTTTAGTGGAGTTCATCTTCCTTTTGGAAGACATTCCCCTCAAATGTCTTCCCTTCCTGGGATTTTTTTATTTTTTTATTTTTTAAGAATATCGGAGTTGGAAGGGACCTCAGGAGGTCATCTAGTCTAACCCCCTGCTCAAAGCAGGACCAATCCCCAGACAGATTTTTGCCCCAAATTCCTAAATGGCCCCCTCAAGGATTGAACTCACAACCTTGGGTTTAACAGGCCAATGCTCAAACCACTGAGCTATCCCTCCCTCCATTATAACTTGTTGCCATTTTATTTGGTGTGTGTTAATAGTAGTAAGTTTGTTTTTTAGCAGGAAAAAGGTTCCTGTTTTAGAACCTAGGACAGTATCTTGATGTAACTTGATATTCTCATCTGTATAAATGTCCAATACTACTCAGAATCCTACTAAGCTCTCTGCCTTCATGTTATTCTAGTGATGAGTTCCACAGGCCAGTTTTTTAAAAGTATTTCCTTTTATCAGTTCAAAACTTGCTGCCTTTAAATTTTATTAAATTTCCCTTTGTTATTGTGGGAGAAGGTAAGTAGAAGTGCCTGATCTACTGTCTCTTAAATCATGCATTATTTTGTATGCTTTTCCCATCTTCCCGCTTTGTGTCTTCTCAAACTACACAGACCTAATCTTTGCAGTCTTTATATGCAAGTTTTTCCATGCTTCAGATTGCTTTTGTCAGGGATCTCTGAACACCTTCTATTTCTACTATATCCGTTTTAGAGCAAGTGGCCAATATTGAATACGGTCTACTAACACTTTTTGTCTTTTGGCTGCCGTTACATATTGAAAAGAGGTGTGTTTTTTTGTCGTTGTTGGGGTTTTTTGTTTGTTTTTGTTTTTAAATTTTATGCATTTGACAGCACTTTGTCAATTTCAACTATTTTGTTCATGGCCAGGTGCTCTTTTGTCTCATGTGCAAGCATGCACTTCTGTAGGGGGAATTCATGTGTACAGTCTTTCCTGTGCCCTGCGAAGGGGTATACCAGTAGCATAAAAAGCTGCTCCTGTTCCTGAGTTTGGGACCCAGAGGGAGTTGGCTTTTATCTAAAGATATCTGGAACTTTGCTTCCTTGTATAGGACAGGCTTTACCTTACCTACTTCTCAGAATTTTGACTCTTTGAAGCATTGATATTCTACCTTCATTCTGAGGCCAACTGTCAATGGCCTTGTTTCTGTTGCTTTCAAGCAATCCTTGTTGACCTCAGATTCTGTTTGGACATTGTATAGAAGCCGTACACAGCAACTATGTAATCCACTGGGCTAGGAACCATTCAGTAAGGAGGCAAGATTCTTGCCAAAGTACAGAATGCTACTTAATTAGGATAGTTTTCAGCTAGTAGTGAAGACTCCAGCCAGCAGTTACTATGTAGTAGGTGAGTGTGCTGACACATGCAGTGAATTCCTAAATGTTACCAGGCTAGTACCCTTCAAGTTAATCAGGTTTGTCATAAATAGGGAGTCATTACTCCTTGAGAAAGGAGACTATTTTTCTCTCGGAACAAGACAGTTAAGGTCATTGAATAATAATCCTTTCAAGGCTTCAGTGTAAAACACGAATAATTTTCCAACAGATCAAGATACATAACAAAGGATAGACTTTCTGGATGATGATGAACTTTCACTGTTGTTCAAGGTGGCTGAATTAAACCTGTTACTGAGTGCCTAAGGATTGTCACTTCAGTATTGTAGGCGATCACATTATCATACTGCAGTGCACAACCCAAAATTTTACGCTGAACATCTGACTTTAAGGATGGACTGCCTCCTTCTGTGCCTCCTTCTCATACAAAAGTTCATAAGTACTAGAGAACCTTGTGTATTCAAGTAGTGCCAATATGAAGGATTGTGAGGAGGCATCTCTAATTAAGAATGTACAAATAGAGATCTTTCTGCTTCTCATGGACCAAGCACTGCAAGTAGTTGAGCTACAATGCTGTACTCTTCGGTGTCCATTGACTATTTGTCAGGTCCTTGAAGGTACTAAATCATGAAGATATGAAAGTGCAGGGATTCAACTAGAATAGAGTAAGTACCTGATATGTATATAGAGCTCACAAGCATGATCATCTCAAAGTCTCAAGGGTAGAGTCTGTCCAATTCACCATCAAGTGTTAGGAACTATGTAACAGCATGTGAAGAGCATAAGTCTAAGACTTGGTCTACGCTAAACCCCCAAATCGAACTAAGGTACGCCACTTCAGCTACGTGAATAACGTAGCTGAAGTTCGAAGTACCTTAGTTCGAACTTACCTCGGTCCACACGCGGCAGGCAGGCTCCCCCGTCGACTCCGCGGTACTCCTCTCGTCTAGCTGGAGTACCGCAGTCAACGGCGAGCACTTCCTGGTTCGACTTATCGCGTCCAGACAAGACGCGATAAGTTGAACCCAGAACTTCGATTGCCAGCCGCCAAACTAGCGGCTGGGTGTAGACATACCCTTAACTCTTAACTGAAAGGGATAAGGAAGAAACTTTTATGGGAATAACCTTCCCTGCCCATAGACCCATTGTCGATGCAGGGTTTATTAATTTTTGTTTCTTACTGCTGCCAGATATAGGATGCTGTACTAGCTAGACCACTGGTCTGATCTAGTATAGTAATTCCTATGTTTTAAGTTGACTGTCATCCCTTAACCTATGGCTCACTAGTTTGATCACAACATGTGGAGTCAACTCTACCTGGTTTTAGGATTACCAAGTATTCACATAACATAACATTATTAAAACCATTTGGAAAGAATGTGTTGCCTAAGCTACTAACACTTGCTCATTCTGTTAGCAGCATTTGGACGAGTTCAAATACCATTTTTTGAAATACGTTTCTTCAGTGGGTTACAATGTTAACCCTCTGCTTATTTTGTGTGTGCATGTGAAAATATGTATAGTCAGTATAGCAAATTTATACTTGTGTATTCCTCTGGAAAACACAACTTTTTGACAAGCAAAAATATAGAACTATTTTTTCATTGTTAATCATCAGAGTAAGAGGTGGGGCTAGAGTTTTGTGCATGGTCTGACAAATTTTCATGTTAAATATTGGTGGTCTGAGATAGATGTAGGACACACAATACTAACTTTTTTATATCTTTAATGTATTCAGCATGCTTATACAACATCTGATAAACTGTAAGCTCCTTAGGGCAGGGACAATCTTACTTTGTTCAGAAGCAACCAAATCACATTTCATAACGTTATGTGAGAGTGTTAAGTTGTACTCATTCAATGTTCCTGTTAAATGTACATTATAAAACACCCTGTTCAGTGCAATTTGGCAGATTTGATGTAACTTTTTAGAGACCTTAACTTTAGTCTTCATAGACTTGGACTTTGTGTGACAATGTTAGAATAAGAGTTGCATATTTAATTTTTTACATAGGGTCCTTGATGCACAATATTACACCAGTGTACATAGTTATAATATAAATAGAAAGTTTAAAGGTGATGCTTTTAAAGAAATTACTATTTGCTTTAAAGGAAGAAGAGTTTCATGGCTCTGCCAGTTACTTTCTAAAAACTCTTGAAACGTGCTGTTTGACTGCTTCTTAAGGTTTAGGAGGTTGAGACTAACACTTTTTTTCCCCCCTACAGATTAACACTAAATCCCCACAATGTCCCTGAAACCACGAGTAGTTGATTTTGATGAAACATGGAACAAACTTCTAACAACAATTAAAGCTGTTGTAATGTTGGATTATGTTGAAAGAGCGACATGGAATGACCGCTTCTCGTATCCTTTAAACAGTATTTCACCTTCATTTTTCTACATATGAATATACTTAGCACAGAGTGGCCATCGCACTTTGTAACACAGTAACGTGGGCTTGATCCAAAGCCTGTTAAAACGAATGAGATTATTTCACTGACTTCAATGAGTTTTGGTTGAGGTGTTGAGAGGAAGACCTGTGGTTTTATACCAACTTAATTGTTTTTCACTGTTGTTTTTGTGTAGAAGTGGAAATAATCAAATCTATTTTTCACATTGCTTTCAGCAGAATAAATCTTAATAGGTGTAACCAGAGCTGTTTTAACTGTTTTCTTTCCCTTCCAAAGAGGTATTTGTTTTTGTTGTTAAACTCATTTATATCAATCTTCCACTACCCTGGAACTGTTCTTGTTCAAAACCTCTATTGGTTGAGACTCCCCATCCTTATAAGCAAGCTATTTTAATTATACATGGAAGTAAAACCACTTATTGGTTCTAAGTATTCTTGATATCATGTAAAGACATAATTATTATAACTTAAATCACTTCAATTAATTAATAGTGGCTAGGGCAAAAACTTCTGCCACATTAGAAACTCACATCCTGCTTTAATGCCATTTACCATTTTATTCTTCTCCAACAGCCAAGGATAAATAATTTTTCTTAAATGTAGTTTGTGGTGATACCCTTCTCTCTTTTACGTATAGTCTTATGATGTGAAGGATCTTATTTTTTGAGAGAGAAGCATAGTTGTGGCAACTAAAATAGGCTTGTAGAATAATGAAGAGGCATAACCTACTGACCTATTTTTTTTTTTTTGCCTTCAGAGGAAAAAGCTGCCTTGTAATGGGGAATAATGAGTGAATTCTAAGTGACTTCTCAGAGACTCACCTGCAATCTGAATCCTTCTGACAAGCAGTAATTTTCAGATCTAAGAGTCCAGATACTACAGGACAGATTTTGATGCATAGATTTCTACCACATAAATATACCAAAAGGGAAGAAGAGCCTTTTGAGTCTACGTCTGTTTAACAAGCTGTGTTTGCATTTCAGAGTAGATGTTCTTTCTGTTGTGTCCATGTTGCTGTCCCTAAAGAACAACATAAAATTGAGTTGGTTGCAAGTCTACTTACCACCTCACTTTCAAGGACAATAAGTTCTCTGATGGCTCTTGCATTAGAAACCCTTTTATAATTGCACTTCTGGAGTCATGACTTCACCCTGTCTTTAGGACAACCAGATTTAAAAAGCACGGTTACTTCTATAATTTAAAAAGTCACTACTGATTTGGTTTGAGACGACTTGCATTTTGTCAAATTGTTCTGTTACTCTTTAACTGTAAGTGCAACTCATGAAAACCAAAAATAAGCTGTTTAAGAACTGCATGTTCCAATCTCAGAAGGATGCATAAATCCAAGGTTGTAGCTCTGAGCTGTAGAAGTTAGCCAGAATCTTTAAAAATAAATAAATAAATAAATAAAAATTGTAAATTCAATATACTTGCAAATTTACATTTGTTTTACACTCTTCAAGAGCCTGCAAAGGAATAAGATAAGTGTTCCTGCCCTGATGATCACCCACCACATTTTTTATTTTATTTTTTTTTAATTGTACATGGGAGCCTTTGTTTTTAAAAATTCAAGCTGGCAGCATTTCTCGTGTTTCAGAAACATTTGAAATTACTTCATAAATCACTGGAGCTGGATTTTTTTTAATCTATTTCAAAATATTACCTTTTTCCTATATAACCCCAATTTGTAACTTTTGTGTGAGGAACATGGAGATTATTTTTGAACCATGCGTGATAAATTTTGTACTGATCCCCCTTCAGAACTTATTCTGCAGCTCACTGAACATCAGTCAACTAGAGAACGCACACTAGCAGACTCCCAAAATTTGCTTCGTGGAGGCCCTTGGTGTAATTCCTAGGACCCCAGTGGTCATAAACTCTTAACTCCATGTCTAGGAACGTGGCAGCATGGTGACTATTTTGGCATCTTGCAGCTATAGGAGAGGAGATCTTCTTGGAATACCCTCTGCACCTGCGTAGCATGATGAGCTTCTGTCAGCTGGTAGTTTCTAAGCAAAGATTGGCTCTTTTTGGAGCTGCTTCTAGCTTAAGTAAACAAGTCTCATTGGTGGGTATTCAAAACTTAATGAAATTACCAATTTTTTTTTCTATACAGTTAGTATTACAGTTTATTTCAGATTTGGAACAATCATTTAGTAATTCAGATGCTCTTACAGTGACACTTTAAAAAAAATAAAAAGCTAGTTTTAAAAAGCCAGCTTGTTTTTTGGTTTTTGTTTTTAAAAAAGTGGATTACACACGCACACACCAGCTTCAGGTGTCTTGCTTAAATGAACATAGTTTAGTTTGGAACAACCTGTCTCTTAAGATCGTTCCGATTTTAGATATTTGTAAGGTCTTTAACCTTTATACTAATTTGTCTTAAATGTGTATTAAGGAAATGTTACACCATTTGCCTTTATTTTTCTTGCTTTTTATTAGACTTGGTAACCTAGAGAAGTAATGTGGCTAAAGAATTTTGAACTGTGTAGTATTAAAACTCTCTCCCTATTTAGCACACTTACTCATTATAGCACCATTGATCAGTCTGATCTGTTTATACTATCAACTTTTTAAATAAACTGATGATATAACCAGAAGATAGGTATGAAGAATGGGGGGGAGGAGGAGGAAGTTTTTAGGTTTTTAAATGTGGTATGGTATTAGAAACTTCATATTTACTGTGAATAACTTAATATATATATATATATATATTGTTACAGAAAAAGGAATCCAGTTGATTCTAGACGACATTTTGTAGCAGTGTACTATCGTACACTGCAAAAATGGCGACCTACTTGCAGTAGTTGAGATGGGCTTAGGTGGTCAAAGTGAGTCCTGGTACTTCAATGAGGGATGGTGCTCTCAAAGGATAACCTCACTTCTGGAATTTGCTTCTCCCCTCTGTTCCAACAGAGCCTGAGATTTGTTGATCTTCTTTTTATAGGGTTGTCTTTTTATTTAGGATAATTCTCTTTAAAATGATGAAAACAGGATAAATGAGTTTGGGATACCAACTGAATAGTGTTATCTGCTTCTGATAAGGAGCAACTCATAGACTGTCTCTCTTTAAAGCATGACTAATTTTTAGCTACCTTTTGACCTTCAGATTTCCTGTCTGCACCTCTGCAGAAATAAAATCGTTCTGGCGTTATTTCACTACGCAGTGTTATCACAGTACAGATGCCAGTTTGGTTTTGTTTAAAACTTGTTACTGTAAGTATCTTCGCTATTGAGAATAACTTTTTAATTTAGAAAGTTAATGTATTAAACAAATTAATGTGGCAAAGCTTCTAAGCAGTAACTTGCAGGACACCTGTACTTTTATCAGATTTTATTGGGCTAAGGTAGCTAACTGCTTTTTTTTTTATTTCACACACTGTTTAACAGTAAAAGTAAATCTTTAGAAAGCGGATGTTCAACAGTGTAGAATAGTGTGGCATCTTGTTTCCTTTTTTATTTTTTCTGTTCCACAATATGAAGGTCCACATTTAATTGAGAATTCCAGGTGCCTTTGCTCTTCACGCCTGCATAGTCACTTTTTCAGCCAACCAAATAGACTGAGGGACACCCGAAATAAAGGATCCTGTATATAGAATATTTCAATTGGATATAAAATGCCAGCAGCATTTCCTGCTCTGTTCACCCTAACATTTCACAAAGGATTCTGCAAGAGACTAGAAATCTGGGAGTCCGGATTTACATTTTTTTTTTTTTTTTTTTTTTACACTTCCATCTTAATTACACTTTTAAATAGGATGCCAGCATAATTCTCTTCACATTGGAGTCTGTTGCATGGGCATGGCTGCCAATCTTCAGAATGGGATGTGTCCTTCCCTTGTCAGCTGGTTCCAGATGACTTATCCGTATGAGAATTCTCTGGAAGTTCTGCTTCTGTCTGATGATGCACATCAGTTCAGAGGCTTCTGCTACTATATAATTCTAATCTGGATGGGTTTTTGAACCTTGGGATGTGAGTATTCAGGAGGATTTGGGGACCTCAGAGGTTATGTTGATATTTATTCACCCTCTCTAGATTCTCTCCTTAGCCTGAGGTGAGCCTAGTTTTGCATTGCTGGCTCAGGCACAGTGCAAGTGGCAGCTGCCATTCACAATGTCACACACATGCTCTTGCAACCTTTTCTCTCTACCTGAGGCACAAGTGGCACATGTCCCCAACTTATTTGGCATTGACCAGCTGTCAGGTTTAGGGCTGAAATAAAAGGACAGCTGGCTTCCATTGTTCAAGATAACTCCTTGCATAGTAGAAGCAGGATTCTATTCCATCTCCCAAAAGGTCAGGAGAGACCTCAAGACAGAAATGGCTAGGCACGTCTTAAAGTTTGGAAATTTGTTTATGGGACATATTAGCAGGGATTTTTAATCACCCTTTTCTTAGAGGCACTTCCTTTAACAAACTGTGAGGACAAGTTTGGCTGAGGAATCACCTCCAGTATCGCTAAGCTAGCGATGTATGTGAACTCTCACCTTTTTTTTTGCCTCTGTTTCTGGAGCCAACAGTTTAGAAGAAAAATCTGTGAAGTACTCAATCTAAACATAATTCTATCGAAGGCACAACAAATTTGTTTTGCCATGTCTCACTGCTACTCATAAGGCTCTTCCACTTCAACCAAGAAACAAAGTGAGCTTACTCTTGCGCCAGGAAGGGGAAGGAAGAACCCCTAGAACAAACTTTTTCCTTCTTATTCCTGATACTGTATTCAAGAGAATGTCTGTCTGATTCAGTTACTGTTTGACTCCATTGGCCAGAAAAGGCCAGAGAAGCTGCAGATCCAACCTGAGTTAAATACTTTTCTGAAGGGCCAAACAGGAGTTGGTGATACTAGTGCACAAATTGATAAAATTATTTGCTTAGAGGGGGAAGTTCCTGTGAAATCCAAACAGTATAGACAGTTGCTTATATTCAGCATGCTTACAGAAGCCAAGAAGTAATTGTGCAGATTCCTCAAGTAGCTGTGGCGTCAGCTGTAGTTTCTTAGTTGAGTATAAAGTTTATACTATACAGATAAGGGATACTTCTGATCTATTTGGTCTTTAGGGAAGAATTTTGGTCATAGAATAGCAGGGTTGGAAGGGACCTCAGGAGGTCATCTAGTCCAACTGTCTGCTCAAAGCAGGACCAATCCTCAAATGGCCTCCTCAAGGATTGAACTCACAACCCTGGGTTTAGCAGGCCAATGCTCAAACCACTGAGCTATCTTCCCCCCCCTCTCCCCTTTGCCTTGGCAAGTATTTTGACAGAAGCCTGAATAATTTATTTTAATAGGATAGCCTTGAATAATGAGTTGGGTCTGTCAGGGCAAGAAAATTTAAGTTTAGTACCGAGAGAGAGTTCTGCCATCTGCATTTCTGGCAGGTTGTTTCATTTGACACTATTAAATGACACTATTCTCTACTTTTGCTATCCCTTCTAACCTAGGCAGGTGTGCTTGCTTACCTGGAAGGCAGATGGATACGTGAAGTAGCTTCATCTGTGTTTTATTTAAAAAAAGCTTGTGTTGAGTCATTTGGGCAAAGCAGTTATGGCATCTAGTGAAAGGGACAATTCCTTTACTGTCTACAAGGATGGAAGATTTTCTGAGCCTGGCGCTATAAAAAAAGAGAAAATTCTCCATACATTGACAAGGCTTGGAATGAAGATGGGAAGGGGAACTGGGGTTAATCTCTAGAGCCTCTTTAGATCCAGCAAAAGCCAATTTGACACCTCTTTATCGCACTAAAGTAAGGGCAAACTCGCTGTATATTAAAGATAAACAAACTATCACATATACACAGGATTTAGAGGATATGAAGATAGGATATGCTCTGGAGCTGCTTTAATCCTGCTCCTCACAACAAATTATCCCCAGCTTTCTCCAGTCTGGTAGTGATGTATAGTGTCAACAGCCACTTCTAATTTTTGCAAACTGAGGCACTTAAGCTATCCCACAGAGAGCAGCATTTAGGGAAGTTGATTCTGTATTCTTTGTGGTCCCCAGGAAGTATGGCACAGTGAGCACTTCTGGCACTTGAAGGGCACATCTTGCTCATGAAAATCAGCAAGCTCAGGATGGAAACTCTGGTTTCCATCTCTTTGTCTATCCAGAGTTATTGGTACCCTCATGAAGTTGCTGTGTACTGTGGTGTTCTCTATAAACATCTTGCCTTGGGCCCATGAGGACTCTGCAAGTTTGATTCTCAGAAGCTGGCCATACAGCTCCCTGAAGGAAAAGAAGCTAAAGATTCCACCAAGAGATATGGATGAGAGTCTGCTCAGTTTGAGCACAAAGGGGAACCATGAGTCAGAACTTGTCTTCTGTTACCACATGAGTTTGGAACCATCAGGCTATGAAAGACCTACACGTGGACTGAGCACGTGTCTTCATCCATGTCAAAGTCTTGACTATAGAATAGTAAATAAACAGCAGAATCCTGGAGTCTCTTTTCTCTAGAGACACCAAAGTCCTACTTCAGTAGATTCAGTTGCTTGCTTTTATTCAAGAAGGTTCACGCTTGACTCTGCAATAGAGTGGATAAGCAGGCTGCAGCTTCGCCTGGGAGTAAGTGTCTCAATGAGAGTTTTTCACTTTAGTGTCCCAGTGGGGAGTTACCAAGTTTTGGACCTCTGTGTCAAATCTCAATGCAAAGATGTGCTTTTCAAGGACAAGAATGCCAGGGAGTTGGTGTCTTGGTAACCATGGCTAAGCCACCGCCTGTATGCCTCCTCCCTCCCCCCTTCCTCAAGCCAAGGATCTCCCCAAAATCAGAGTGCACAGAACTATTTACTGATCTCCATCCAGGAGGATGTGGTGGTATTCTGTAATGGAGAATTTGAGACCACCCCTACCATCATTCTGCTACACCTTCTGTGCTTGGGTTCCACCCCTGCAGCCAAACCCAGCCTGTCTGTGGACAAGAAAAAAATTGAGATTACTTTGTCTCCACTATTCTGTTTTCTGTGCTACAGTATTGTGGAAAGTGGGCTACATTTGCGTGTTTCCCTGAAAAATCAGGCAGCTTGCTGAAAGCTAAGATGTCATCTACCCATAGAAAATCCTTCCTGAATAAAATGGATGCATTCCAACATGACGACATAGACATTCCCCAGAGAAGCCCTACTGTATCCATTCATCCCATGTATCAAAATTTCTCAAACTGGCTAATCCGTACTCTAAATTATCAACCTGGAAATTCAGCTAGGTCCTGCCTTTTCTAATGTGTCATCCCTATGAATCATTGGTATAGTGCCAACCACGCTGTTAAATGATTGATAAATTTGTTTTACCAGGATTTCCACCCAATATTTCCTTCTCTCTTTGCACGCTGAGGAGAACCCTTCTTGTAATCTATCTGTGCATGGAGTATTATATTAATATAAAACTTTACAATTCGTGGCTTTTAAGATGCCAGCTGCCACATAAACCCCTTTCTGACTTGTTTATTTTTGTACTTCAGTACTTTCATATTATCACTTGCATTTAAAACTAAGAATTAGGTTTGGAAATTTTCTTTGAAACCTCTTTGTATATTCTTTATTGGTGTTGAATGAGCAAATGGCTTGCCTGCTGTCCATTTCCTTTTAAACTTTTAGCAGGCATGCAAACATGCCATCCTAAAATAATGTAGTATATGATTAGAGGAAAATGGGTCACGTGTGCTATCTTGCAGTTCAGATAATCTTTTGTATGCAAAGGTTTATTTCTGAGATACTGTACTTCTAGCGTGGTTGATTACATAAACTTGTATCAGCATGAATGGGTTTTCATTTTTTCTTTTGCATTTCTATTTTAAAAGATTACTAAGCAATATTAACCTAAAAAAATGACCTAGTGTCCCTAATGCCATCTGTATGGGAATCATCCTTATTCTAAAATGTATATTGTTTCCTTGACCAAGTGATAGTGTTGAAAAAAATTACTTTTTCTAGTAAACTTTCCAAACTACATGCTTTGTGCTTGCTTTAGTCACACTTAACTAAGCAAGTCTTAAGAGCAAAAGTGGATCCATTCTTTAGTGTCAGTTTCTCTCCATATCCCAAAAATAGCGAGCATAAAAATTCTAATATCTTAATCATAATTGTATATAGGATGGAGGAGACTTTTGGCAAATAAAAAGAATCTATTTTGGTTGAGAGTGAGAAGTAATTATTCAGTTTTTGAGATTACCTAATGTTCGTGTATAGTGGAGTTTTTTTGTGGGGTTTGTTTAATTGTTAGTGTCCTTGTCTAAATAAGAACCTCCTAGGGATTTCCTTTTTTGAGATAGCTAGGTTAAAAATAAAATACTGTAAATTTCTAGGAGATTCTCCTTTAGACAGGGACACTAGTAATTTTATTTAAAAAGTCACAGCTTCAGAAACCAGTGAAGTTATATTTCTTACAGAGCAAGGTAAATACTTCTCAAAAATCCATCTACTTCATTGTTTAGTCTCCACTACAAAAACCTTCTTTTACTAATACAGTTGTTAAATACTAGGATTCCAAAACATATATAAATTGATTTTTCTTAGTATGTGTGGTGGCAATTCAGAGTTCATACATCTCTAGAAATGCAATGAAGTGGTAACTTATCTTAAGACTATTTGCTTTTAGTAAAGCTAATTATGCAAGACTTTAAAAAGTGCGCCTAAATTCATCTTTAAACAATAAGGGACCGATTTTCAACAGTGCTGAGCACTGAATTGTTGGACACCCAGCACTTTGAAAATCAGGCCATTTGTTTAGGTGTCTAAATGTGTACTTTGGCCAAGGTGTTTTAAAAATGTGTGCCTAATGTTTTACTGTTGCAAGAAATGGTATCCAAAAGTAATGTGCATACACTTGTATGACACATTGTAACTGTTCTGTCCAAAATGTGAAAAACATAAGTATAACCTTAAATTTACAGAACCTGTTTAAAGACCCTTTTAAACCTTGACTTCAAACTCAGGGACATTTATGCTTTATGTGTGGCCTATCCAGAACCTCTTGGAGAGAGACTTTATACCGAGACTAAATTTTTTTTGGAAAATCATGTACGCCATTTGCACAAGGTAACTATTATATGACTAAAAATATGCATGTTTTGTCACTGTACATAAAGAAATTCTGCCAGTCCTATGTGGATAGATGTAGCTGACAAGGTTCAGAGTACATATTCTTGCTGCTTTCACTATTCCTTAAAGGGAGTATAAAACATGGTCTCATAACCCAAAATATATCTTAGTTTTGTTACATTTTGTTGGCTTGAGGGGGATTGTAAATGTATTTAGTGTGACTGGATAATTTCAACTAAAATTATTAGAATAGTTTTCCAAAAGTGTCTTCTACTTCTTTATATATTACTGGGGAAAAAAAGTTGAAAATAGGAGGGAGGGGAGAGATGGGGAAGCACAGAAAATTAGATTACCAAAGCATTGTCCAGTTGAGTATTTGCTTTATAAACATGTACTCATGAGGATATTTCAGCAATTCTATTTTTGTCAATCAAACTATATTTCTTCCAGCTTGCAGTATAAATTCAGTTTCCCTGAAACAGGGACTGGCTCAGTTTGTCCTTGTGGCTTGAAGTACACTATTGAAACTCATAGTAATCAATTGACTCTCTTATGCTGTCAAAAATACTGCACATGCATGTATACACAATATTTTGCCATTACATTTGGAAGTAAACACTTATAATATGGCATGGTTTTTTTCCTTCATAGCGTGTTCTGGAATCTGAAGAACAAGTACTGGTTATGTATCATAGATACTGGGAAGAATACAGTAAAGGGGCAGACTACATGGACTGTTTATACAGGTAAATTTTGCCAACAAGTTTTTTAAACAATGTAACTGGAGATCACTAGAGTAAGAAAGTTTGCGGATAATTTGTAGAGAGTTGATTAAAGGATGCTGTAGAAGATGACATTGCTCACATAATATGGTGGCAGCTTTAGCCATGGTTAGAATATGGCCCAGATCGCTAATGACTATAGTATTATAATTTGATAATGGTCTCTATGAAATAGGTTTGTGGTCTCAATCTGTGGAACACATGCTAGTGGTCCACAGAAAGTTGGCTGGCCAAGTTGTGCCAACTCCCTTCTCTGTTTCTACATGCTACACTGCATTAAAGATAGGAGGGAGCTCTGTGTAGCTCGAAAGCTTACCTCTATTACCCACAGAAGTTGGTCCAATAAAAGATATAGCCTCACCCCACCTTATCTCTCTGTAGTTTACTAATGTCATTGTATGTAAGAATTGTTTGAGTGAATGTCCACGCAATTTACAAATAGTGCAAATAGAATCTGATCTTGCATGCAAGGGCTTTTTTGAATAGCAGTGTCCTTCCTTTGGGGTGGCACCTGCACCCTGAATGGCCTCTTGATTCCTGTAGCAAAAGGCATACAGGACAGTGAGGCCTCAACCGTCACTCAGTTCCTTCTTACTGCCTGTGACTGCAAGATGGAACAGCAGCAGCATCTACATCCCTTGCTTCTAGGGATTAGGCTATTACTTTAGTAGCTTTTAGGTAGGTTAGAGTAGTTAGTAGGTTAGATTTGTTAGGTTTCATTTTTGCCCACTGACATTTAAAATAAAACCCCTTTATGCATAGCTGTTTTCTTTCCATGCATGCAAAGCAGCACGAGTGAATGAGACCCCCTAGGAGAAGTGGATGAAAAGGACAGGAAAAGCCAAGATAATAAAACTATTGTTAACACTGATGTTCTTAGTCTATATTATGTAAAACTTTAAATTTGACACCTCATAGTTTTTTTTTTTTTTTTTTTTTTAAGTGTATAAGCTTTACAAGTTTGTTTAGGTGAGGACTATATCATTGTGTCTCATTTATAATATCTCTTTAAAAATCCTGCTTTTCTCAAGGTTTTGTCTAAATTACTTGTATATTAAGAACTCTATATGAAAACAAAAATTTTATCTTTGGTCTCTGGTATAAAGGTGGAAACCTGTATAGTTTCCTAAGATCTTGTTGAATGAACATTCTAGGCTTGCAATACAGCATTCACTTTTCATATACGTAAAAGTTAGTTTCTAAAATTATTAAATTTACTTACGTTGCATTTTCCTGTTCTTCAAGTGATTGCTCATGTGCATTCCACAAAAGGTGTGCGTGCTCGCCATGTGCACCAGTGCCGGAAGTTTTTCTCCTAGCAGTACCGTAGGGGAGCGCCCGTAACAACCCCTGGAGTGGTGCCTCTATGATGCGGTATAAGGGGCACTCTGTGCTCCCCCCCACCCTCAGTTCCTTCCTGCTGCCAGTAAAGGTGCATCGGAACTGCTCTGCTCCAACTTGGCTGCAGCTTTCCTCTTGAACTTTTGTTCGTTCATAGTTAGTAGTACCTGTAGTTAAAGTAGTTTAGATGAGTGTTAGTTTAGTTTAGTGCGCCCGGGTTGGGGCATGCCCTGTGCTTTAAGTCGTGCGACACTTGCGGGCGGCCGCTGCCAGTGAGTGATCCGTACATGGACTGTTTACGCTGTCTGGGGGAAACCCATCTCAGCAATCGTTGCAAGATTTGCAGATCCTTCAAGCCTCAGACCAAGAAGGAAAGGGGCTCCAAGCCATTCTGATGGAGTTGGTGTTGACCCCGACTCCAGTGCGCCACTTTGAGTCGGCACTGAGTACCGCGGTGTCGGTGCGCAGCAACCCTTCGGTGCCTGGCACCGCTCTCCGTCTGCGGGGCACGCCAAAAAGGGTAAGAGGAAGTCATCTCCACCGAGACACCAGAGCAAGACCGGGGGAGAGACTAGACCCACACTGGGCAGTTCTCGATCCCTTTTGGCCTCCAGACCTCCGACGCGTGTTGAGCAGAGCAGCCCAGCCCAGCCCACTTGACGCCGACCTCCCCGGATGTCTGGGCGCCCTCCACGCCGGAGGCCCTGCAAGCGGCCCGGGACGTTATGTCTCTGCTGGTACCAGGGCACCATTGGCTCCCCAGTCCAGAGGCAAGCCACCACTTGGATCTCCGCAGTCACCGCCTGGTCGGTACAGTGCGCGGTCTAGGCAATGTTCCGTTCGCCATCGACCCCCAGCAGGTTGTATGGCTGGGTCCCGCTGGCAGGGGTTCCAGGCGCCTCGAGGGACCGTAGACCTCGCGAGGGGAGCGGGCCCCGTCGAGACCGGGACAGATGCAAGCGGAGGTCCTAGTCTCCGGGAGACTATCGTAGCCCGTCATGATATGGGCATCGACGCTGTTCCCGTTCTTGGTCTTGCTCCAGGACCCCGCTGTGGCACCGCTTCCGCAGTCCTAGGCATCGATCGCCGGCACCTCGCTGTCATGCATCTACCCATCAGAGCCAATCGCGGAGCAGCTGCTACCAGTGGTACTCCCACTCCTCTGCGCTGGGATCACGGTCTTGTGGTTGGCACCGTTCCCGATGCCAGCGCTTCTCCCAGTCACGGGACGGTGGCAGGTCATATGCCAGCCCAGCCTCCCTTCGTAGTCGTCAGTCGATAGGACAGGCTGAACAGCCTGCTGCGCCGGTGCCACAACAGGTGCAGTTTCACTGGGCTCCTTGGCCGGCACCATTGTACCAATGGGCCCTGTGGCCCCCGACACAGCCACCGGTGGGTGGCTCGCTTGGTGGCCGGAGCCTTGGAAAGACAGTCGGCCTCCCTATTTCAGCCTCCCAGAAGGGAGTCGGTGGGGCATTGATCTCCGGTTCCACGCCTAGAGAGCGACCAAGTGATGGGACCTCTGGCACCGGTGGGTACGCAGAGTACCACACCACCATCCTCATCCTCCCCTGATGAGGCGATTACGGCCCCTCCTCCACCTGTTCCACAGGAGGACTCTAAGGCCCACCAGGAACTGTTGAAAAGGGTGGCATAGAGCCTCAACCTTCAAGACGAGGAGGTGGCGGAACCCTCGGACTCCCTCTTCAACGTCCTCTCGACCTCGCCACCGCACAGGGTGGCCCTCCCACTCCATGAAGGGGTGGCAAAAATTTCAAGCGCCTTGTGGCAAACCCTGGCTTCCTTGCCCCCCCAATCTCTAAGAGGGCATAATGGAAGTACTTTGTGCCCACCAAGGGGCATGAATACCTGTACACCCATCCTGCCCCCAACTCCCTGGTGGCTGAGTCGGTCAACCAGCCCCTACTCCAAAAAATAAAGACTCAAGGAGGCTGGACTTATTTGGGAGAAAAGTTTATTCATCCTCAAGTTTCCAGTTAAGGGTGGCAAACCATGAAGCCCTCCTGGGGCGGTATGATTTCAGTTTGTGGGGCTCTCTGCCCAAATTCGAGGACTCCCTCCGGGAGCGTGACAAGAGGGAGTTCAAGGCTCTGGTGGAGGAGGGTACAGCGGCAGCTAAGGCGACCCTGCAGGCAGCGTCGGATGCTGAGGTTACGGCTGCAAGGTCTATGGCCTCTTAGGTGTCCCATGAGGAGGGTGCCGTGGCTCCTGCTGTCCGGGATGTCCAGCGAGGCACAGAATTCCTTGCAGGACCTTCTGTTCGATGGCAAGGCCCTGTTTGCAGAACAGATGGACGTGAAATTGCATGGGCTGAAAGATTCCTGCACAATGCTTAAGACACTTGGCCTCTGTCCCGGCTCTGGCCAGGACCAAGTTTAAGCCTCAGCCGGCTCCGACCCAGGCCACCCACTCTAAATATGAGCTCCCTTATAAAAAGTTACGGGACTATAAGAAACGCCCAAAGAGGCAGTCCCGTTCTGCCCCCCAGCTTGGGCCTTCCAAGGGCAAACAGGTGGGAAATCGTCAGTTTTGACGGGACGCCCGGGAGCGACTTACCAGTTTATACCGGGGATCCACCCACAATAAAGCTTCCCTTCTCTAACCGGTTGTGTGCTTTTCTCCCAGAGTGGTCGTGGCTGACCTCGGACCGTTGGTCCTCAGTACCATCTCCTGGGGCTACACCCACCAGTTTACCTCTACCCCACCCAACCACCCTCCATCCCCGTCCCTCCTAGGGGACCCCTCTCACGAGGCCCTGCTAGAGCAGGAGGTGGGGCTTCTCCTTGGCCTGGTGGTGCCAGCAGAGTTCAGACACAAGAGGTACTACCCCTGCTATTTCCTTATCCCGAAGGCCAAACGGGGCTCAGGCCCATTCTGGACCTGCGAGGCCTGCACCAGTACATGGTAAAGCTCAAGTTTCGCATGGTCTCTCTGGCCTCCATCATCCCCTCCCTGGATCCCGGGGACTGGTACGCCGCCCTCGATCTGCAGGACACCTACTTCCACATTCATATATTCAAGGGGCAGAGGCGCTTTCTCCGTTTCACGGTTGGGCAGGAGCACTACCAATTTACACTCCTCCCGTTTGGCCTGTCCACTGCTCCCAGGGTATTCACAAAGTGTATGTCTGTGGTGGCAGCCTACCTCAGATGTCATGGGGTCCAGATCTTCCCCTATCTGGATGACTGGCTGGTGAAGGGCAGCTCCAGGTCGCAGGTATCGGATCACGTGGCGCTCGTCCTGTCCATGTGCGCCACCCTGGGCCTGTTGGTGAACTACACCAAGTTCATGTTAGTCCCGGTGCAGCGCATAGAGTTTATTGGGGCAGTCCTGGACACATCGACCATGGCCTCCTTCCCACCGGACAGATTCGAGACCCTAAAAGGGCTCATCAACACAGTCACAAGGTTCCCTGTGACCACAGCCAGAGTGTGCTTCCAGCTCCTGGGTCACATATCAGCATGCACATACGTGGTTCGCCATGCCAGACTCAGAATGAGGCCCCTCCAGCTCTGGTTGGCCTTGGTGTTCTCCCAGTCCAGAGACAGGATAGACAAAGTCCTCACTGTGCCCGAACTGGTGATCTCCCTACAATGGTGGTC